AGGACATGACTTAGAAAGTATTGAATTTTATTCGCACCATCTTCAATTGTCAGTTTTGACTTTTACAAGCCGATGCTAAGAGGTATTGTTGCACTGCTCATTTTCAGCGGAAAGTCAGTTCAGTTCTTCTTTCTTTCTACCGACTGTATTTCTGTACTTCAGTTCGATCCAGACATTCGCAACATAGACGAACCGATTTTGTTGCGTGTCATCAGCTTTTACGTTCCAAATATGATTCCGGATGGTATGATCAAAGATGGGCCTTCCTTGAATTCCGCTTGTCTGCAAGAACCAACGACTAGTGGAAGACAGTTATTTGTCGGCAACCGCCTGTACTATCGAAAGTTGTTGACAAATGTGGTAAGGGATTGTAAAATATGTTGTCTTGCATCTGATTACGTATATTTCGAAGTAATATCCGTTTGTTTTACAGGTTTTGAAGCTTGGAATTTTGAAAAAGCTATTTCTCAGAATTTGCACAACAAAAAGTAATTAATGGGAAAAGTAGAATTCAAATAAAATACAAAACCATTAATGGAACGAGAAAACGACAGCTATTTGCATGAAATAAATAAACACTTCAGCAGAATCTTTTTACACTGAGCATCGCCGGGTAATGCTACCTAATGGTGTTACAACCACGGAGGATGCCCGTTGGGACTGAGATACTGGTTGTTTTCTTTCCTCTGACAAAAGTCATACGATATTAAGATCTAGTGGATGTAATATCAACAGACACGTGTCAAACTAGTATAATGTGACTTTGTTTGTTTTGCCGTTATCACCATCAACGGATTGTCCCTCTTCAGCGATGTCCCGGTTCGCTACTTTCCACCTCTGTCGATTGCGTGGCTAAATTCTATCACCAAGTTTATCCAGTCTTTATTTCACCATCTGTACCCCTATGCTGTAGCTATGGACGGCATTTCAACATCAGTTTTGACAGTGTCCCATCAGGTCGTCTTACCTAATCCGTTTCTTTTTAGACGCCATCTATCGTTTGAGATAGCGTTCATTATAATGGAGATGATTTTCTCTGGATGGCACTAGAGCAGGTTCCCAAGCCAACGCAGTCGCCGTTCTTTCAAAGTAATAGAGAGTTAGATGATGTTGCAACGGGAACGGATTGTGGCGTTAGATATATGATCGAAAGTCGTGTCCGCGAGTTGATTCGTTGACACCAGGATTGACGGGTTGTAGTGTCCTGACTTTTTCGATTCAGAACCCTACGGTTACAGAGAAACATGGAGCGGCTGGCGGCCTGTGGAACTCAGCACTTCTTCATCATGATCTCTGGTCGTTCCACATAGGTTTACAGAGCTGGAGGAATACTCGATTTGCTGCTACTATTTGAGCCGTATTTTCATCTTTCGACTGACCATTTGGAAAGATGGAGCAGCCACGGCATTTGAAAGCAGTGGTTTCTTCAGATGGACCCGTTCAATTATTCAGTGAATGTGCATAGTTGTTATGCCAGTTGTCCTTATCTTGATTAGATGACGCACTGTCAGTTCATCTACAGGAATACCGCCACGTCTTGACTTAAGCTTTAGCGGTCTTCTTACGGCTTTAAAATCATATACCAATAACTCAGGAAAGAATGTTCTTTCCCATCGGTGAAATGCAGATAACATATAAATGCAAAGTTTGCTGTCGCCTTCTCTGGTACATGTGAATTTTTGTTCAGGAAAAACCTTATGTAAATAAGGTACTATATGGACAGTTATGTCATATACATAGTATGCGAAATATTACTGCACCAGGTACGCTAATGCAGGGGCACAAATGACTTGAGTATAAAATTTCTATCTAATATACGTGTAATATGATAATACTTTAAATGGTATTTAATATACAGCACGTAGTTATGCTATGAAAATGTACGTTAACATAAGTGAATTAAGTTGTGGGTTAGCATTGTCTGCTAAGCCATTACTTAAGTAAAAATATTAACCTCTAGAATGTTTACATCTCCGTGTATCTTGAACATCTTCCGG